TATATATGTACAAAATAAGGGTTGATACAATGAAGGGATGGAAGATGACTGTAAAGATGAAAATTATAAAAGATTTTATAAAAGGAATTGATAAGATAAGAAGTTGTTTGAAAAAAGAAAGAAGATTTAAAAAAAAAGAAAAAAAAGGGAGAGAATGTGATCAGGCAGGAGACTAGAACAAAGCCATACACTAGTGATTTAGGGTATATTTTGATCTGTTAGAAGAAACTGTATCTCAAAATTTTAAAGAGAGAACAACTTATATATATATGCCAAAAATAAGGGTAACTACTATGAAGGGATAGAATATGACTCTAAAAATGAAAAATAAAAATGTTTTTTTTAAAAAGGGATTGATAAGATGTTGGTTGAAAAAGGGAAAAAGAAAAATTAAAAAAAAAAGTTTAAAAAAATGAACTTTGAAAGACTAATGAATCATGGTAAAAAAGCCATGAATTCTATGTGCAGTATTCCCCTAGCACTGGAGTTCTCCCATTCTCATTGATCGGTAACCTTGGTCTTGGCTGGCTGTTCGTGTTGATCTTCTGGGGGATGTGCCTGTTGCCGTGGTTCCCAAATGTCTTTGCAGGAGGCGGAATTGCCCCGCCTTTGCCCGTCTGGGCTAAGTAATCTGCTGGGGTTTGTTCTCGGGAGCTTTTGTTCCCTGCAAGCTTTCCCTATGGCTTTGGAGGACGACAGTGAAAATGGCGGCCTCCAATCTGTGCCCCGGAGGAGCTGAGAACTCGGGGCCCCGCTCCTCAGTGTACCCCCAGAGAAAAGCAGTCAGTCACTCCCGTCTCCCCGGTCTCTGGCCGCACTCCGTGCTCACCCGGCCTGTGACCGAGCGTTTCTCTCTCTGGCACCCAACTCGGTGTGGAGTCTCCAAACCCAGCAGATCCCTGCAGTGCGCTCCTGCGCCACTCCTCCCAGAGGAGGAAGGGGAGTCTTCCCGGATCTGCCACTTGTTGGGTCCCTGCTGGAGGAGCAGTGGCCCGACTGTGCCACGGATCATGGTTTATGGCAACCCCGAGCTGAGAGCCCGCACCTCGGCTCCTTCTCTGCAGCTGGCTTCCCCACTCTGATACCTGGGAGCCTGGGAACTCTGCCGCACTCAGGCACCCCCAGGCTTTCTGTGACCCCGAGGGTCCTGAGACCACACTGTCCCACGAGGGTTCCACCCCCCGCTTAGCCACTGGAGCAACGTCCCTCAGCGGATCAGATTTCTGAAAGTTCCGATTTTCTGCTCCGCGGCTTTATCACTTGCCAGAAGTGGCTGACGGAGGCTACCTCCCCCGCCGTCTATCCTCCCAAATATCGCCTCGATTCACTTCTCTGCACGTCCTACCTCCCAGTAAACGGTCGCTTTTCTGTTCAGAGAGTTGTTGCTATTCTTTTCTTCGATCTCCTGTTGAGTTCGTAGGTGTTCAGAATGGTTTGATCCCTATTCAGCTGAATTCCTGAGACCAGACGAAATCCAGGTCTCCTACTCCTCCGCCATCTTCCTGCACCCGTGGTTGGTCCTTCTGATTTCAGTTTGTTGTTAGAGGGACTTTCACTGGCCCTCTAGACTAAGAACCTGTTCTTTAGGAGGATAGGATATGTCCTTTCCTTGCCTCCGCCCCTGACTCTGGTATATTACAGTATGAGGATCTTTTGAACCCCACATATTTTCTGTCTATGAAGATCGAAAGAATGGCCTCTGGAACGTGGGTGCCAGTTGGGTGGTTATGTCGTCAAGGCCTGATGGGAGCAATGTGGGCAGAGCCGGAGGGTCTTAGGTTAGACCCTGCCTCCACCCCTGACTCACTATGTCATTTTGGGAAAATCATTTGTTTCATGAGACCATTTCTAAACACGGAAGAAGTGTGAGGACATACTTTTCTTATCTGTCCGTTCCAGGGTCCAGCATGTAGACTGTGAGATGGTTAGCCCATCCGGGCTTACTGTTATGCTCAGGATAGATATTTTGGGTTCTGTGGCAGGTGACTTTGTTCTTACCTTAATCTTGGCAAAACCTATTCTACTCCTCTTTGTCTCACAACGGAGCTGATGAGAGGTGGGCTAGGGAAGCATGTGACCGTAATCTCCTCTCACCTGAGGGGTCTCCAAGGCTTCCTTGATTGCCAGAATCCCCCCTGCCCCCAGGTGGAGATTAGCAAGGCACAGCCTGTCTTACCTGAAGCACATTTGGGTAGAGATGAGCCCCACCCTTCTATCTGTGCTTTGATAAAGACTACCAGGAAGAAATGAAAAATAGGGTAATATGCCAAACTGAACATAGGAAAGCCCTCTTCTGGGATGTTTCAAATGTAAAATTCATTGCCACCAAAAAAACTCAAGTTTCTTTTTTTTCCCTTTCAATCTTTGTGAGAGGCCTAGGGCTTGTCTGTTGGAAACAGTAGAGAGGGCAGGTTAAGGAGCGTAGTTTTTGCCAGTGGGTCTTTGGTAAGAAAGATTATGGCGGTACAGATTCCAGCTGACAACTCAGGAGGCTTCTTTTCTCCAGTTTGGAATCCTGGGGCCACTGCCTTTACTACAGTAGCCTCTCCTTGAGCCCTTTTCCAGCTAGCATCTGAAAAGTCCTCCTTTCATTTGATTTGGGGTCCATAATGAATGTAAATGCCAAGGGCGAATTTCCCCAGTAACTTTATAAACCAGTTACAGATTTGGAGGGGTGCAGGAAAGGGAAGGAGGTGGGAGAGGGATACAGTCTCTTCAGCCTGCTCCCAGTTTTGATTTTCTGTTCGCCTTTCTCCTTTCCTGTAGCCATCTGTCTAGTTCAGCATTAGAGCTTCCAAATTCTTCTCCTCACTCCCAACTCCAGTCTATTTGGTGTACTGTTTTCCCTTAGAATGTGGGGCTGACCCTGTTGCCCTCCCGTTCTTCAGTGGCTGCTGGGCATGAGACAGGCATGGGGGGGTGTCTTCTGGCCCCTCTGCCAGGATTCCTGCTCGCCACCCCCTCCCCTCTCAGCTCCAGTCATTCTGACCTTCTCTCCATTCTGACACCATATCATTCACTTGTAAATCTACTCTTACATCCAAGGCAGTGCTGGGTACAGAATCAACTTTGAACAGTATCTGAGGATGAGGATACTCCCCTGCCATGGGGCCTTTCTCAGGCTGTGGCATCACAAATTGCCATCCATGTTCTCCCTGCTTCATGGCCACACTCCACTCACCTTCCCAGGTTCCATTGATCAAAGTGCATCACTTCCTGTACTTCTGTACACTTCCTCTATTTCTGTATACTTCCTGGACTTCTCTGTACTTCCTGGAACTTCTGTACACTACTTGTACTTCTGTACTTCCTGTACTTCTATATACTTACTGTACTCTGTACACTTCCTGTACTTCTGTACTTCCTATACTTCTATGCTTCCTATACTTCTGTATACTGCCTGTACTCCTGTACTTCTGTACACTTCCTTTACTTCCGTATACTACCTGTACTTCTGTACACTTCCTGTACTTCTGTTTACTTACTCTAATTCCATACACTTCCTGTACTTCTGTACTTCCTATACTTCTATATACTTCCTGTACTTCTGTATACTACCTGTACTTTTGTACATTCCTGTACTTCTGTACATTACCTGTACTTCTGTATACTTCCTATACTTCTATATACTTCTTGTACTTCTGTATACTACCTGTACTCCTCCTGTATTCTTTCTGTACTTCTGTATACTTACTATACTTCTATATACTTCCTGTACTTCTGTACTTCCTATACTTCTATATACTTCCTGTACTTCTATATACTTCCTGTACTTCTTATACTACCTGTACTTCTGTACATTTCCTGTACTTCTGTTACTTCCTGTACTTCTGTATACTACCTGTACTCCTGTACTTCTGTACACTTCCTGTACTCTGTACACTTCCTGTACTT